CCCCCCAAATTGAAGAGTAGAATATACAGTCCACCATTTCTCAATCCCTAAGAAATAAAAGCCTTGTCCAAAATTTACCAATATAAAAACAAATAAATTACCCTAAATCCCTACAAAATCAAATCCCCCCAACAAACCCTGCAATAATACCCCCGACAACCTCCGGCGCCTCGACACAATGCCAATGTCCCACCTTCTCCAATACCTCCAATTTCTTATTCTCACTCGACACCCCATCAAAAATAACCCGACACCCTTCTAACGGCGCAGACTTATCCTCCTCCCCAGCAATAAGCAAGAACGGCACCCGGACAGCCGAATAATCAATCACCGGCGCCGAAGCAATAGCCCTACAAAGCGCCGCATAGCCCTCGGGGTTCTGCCCGAGAATCAGTTCCCGGATGAATGCCTTCGTGAGCGCAGAGGTTCCGGAGCCGGTGGCTTGGTAGGGGATGGTGTTGGCCATTGGTTCGATTCCCGCTTTGGGTGGTGTTAGTTATATTCTATTTATACTTGGTATTGGGTGTCTCAAAGGGAGGGGTTTTTTTTTTTTTTTTTTTTTTCTGGGAAGTAGTGTGGTGTAGTGTAGGGTAGGGTACCTTCAGAAACAGTCTCGCTTCTCTTGTTCATCACCGATGTAAGCGTCGAAGAAGGATGCGTCGGTCCAATGGCTACCACTGCGTTTATACGGTCTGCATACTGAGCTCCCAGGAGTGTGACGACTAGACCACCCATTGAGTGACCGACGGCCACTGCTTTGGGGATGCTTAGTGCGTCTAGTACGCCGATTACATCTGCGGCGATGGAGGCGATGGATATCGGTTGTCCCGTGTAGGTTGAGCGGGCAGAGCCGTAGGTGTCGATTGTTATGCAGCGGTGGTTAGAGGTTAGATTGGGGAGGACGGGGAAATAGTAGTTTTGGGAGGAGCCGAGACCGTGGATGAAGATGATGGTTTGACCTTGTTCGGGGGCGCCGTTGGGGTGTGAGTCGGCGTAGTGGAGGGTGTGGTTGTTTATGTTGAGGGAGGGCATGGTTGCTTGGATTGGATTGAATTCTGTTTAGGAGGTGATGAAGGTGGTGAAGGTGAAGATATCAATCGGATGTTAATTAACTACTAGATAGTAGTAGTAGTAGTAGTAGTAGTAGTAGTAGTAGTAGAAGATTGCTAGGTTTTGTATGTATGACGACGTCATTGCCTGTCCCTCTTTTTTATTCTCATGTGGATGGATTCATTTCTTTTGTATATCCGTCGGGATTTAAGGGAGCGGAGTAAATCCGCGCTCCATTTGATCAATAAAGGGCCTAGCCGACGAGGGGCTGTCGCTCGGATAGCGGTGCGGATCAGCGCCCCCGTCGGGTCGGATGGGGATCATTTATAGATGTGATGGAGTATGATCGCATCCTACATCCTACATCCTACATCCTACAATTTCCGGACCAGGATATTAGCTTTTAAGAGCGGTTGAATGATTAAAAAGAGCTAAATATTCGTCAGCCATCCATTAATTGCCTTGGGAATCATGCTACTGCCTATAGTATAAAAAGTTATAAAAAGGTTTTAAGGCCTAAGAAACCCACTCCGCAAGGGACAGGATGCTTTCCCCAGCCGAGACCATTTCCACTCCAGCCGAATCCTTCTGCGGCGGGTTGCTGCATCGCACCAGCCTTGCCAACTGTGATGCCAGAAGATGTTCTCGAAATTGGAGATCCAACCCTCCTACCATGTATATAGAGTGAACCGCTCCATTGCCTCCACCTTTCTCTCCCCAGCATAGCCTCGGCCCTACCGTCTCATCTTCCATTTTCCCTGTTCTGCTTCCTTCTTTCGGCCACACACGCTTCGTCTCATAGAGAGTTTCCCACGAGAACGACCTGAATAGGCCCCCGTCCGCGCTCTTTCCGCCAGCACGCCCACTCTTCCACACGAAATTGCGCCCTCCGTACTTGAACCGTCGTGGGGACCAGTCCTTGCGTTGCGCCTCTCCATCGGGGATCTCGACAATATGGCCGGCCTGGGGCACTGTACTCGTCACTAAACGGAAAGCGCCCCCTTTCGTCTTGCGGATCTTTATGTTCACGGCGCCCATCTGAGGGAGGAACTCTCCTGCCCGGCGTAGAATAGCCTCCACAATGGGCACATTCTGGCTCCAGACCGCCTGCAGAGCATAAAGGGTGTGCTTGTTGGCCGAGTCCTTGACAAACCACCAGTGGGATCGCACACCGAGCTCAATTAGCTCTGATGAGTGAGAGAGCCGGTAGATCACAGTCTCTGCTGACGAGGGAAGTGTCGGCACGAAGAGTGGGATTTTGGTGGAGTCTGCCGCGTCGAGGAAAGGTTTCAGTTGAGACGGTGGCTCGGTATTAGTTGGCGTCTCCTTGCTATAGTCGTGAAGCGCCTTTCGAATCTATGTCGGCCCAAGTCATCAAAATCGCGGGGCCTTTATACTTTTTGCGCCCCGAACAACATACCTGAGACAGAGTCCAAGGATTGTTATCTCCATCGTCCCTCTCCAGTTCCTGCATCACGTCAAGTACTGTGGGCGGCAAAGTAATCCCCTCGTAACTACCTTTGTGTTTAAGACACTTCAAGTAGGCAAAACGTTCACGATGCAGCTCGACCTGCCTTTCGAACATCTTGCGATTTATTTTGCGTACATTCGACGATTTCCTGAGTTTCTCTGCCGCCGCGCCAAGGACATCGATAGCGCTCTTGTGAATCTCGATTGCCTTATCATAGTCGCCTCGCCTTTCGAGGATGAAAGGACTTACAGATAGTTTGTATATCTCATTTTTGATGTCCTCAGATGTAGCCATTGTAGTCAAGAGCAGGACGGGTACGATGGCTTCTAGCAATTGGCCTGGAAAGAACGTCTAACCAGATGTGAATCTCTTTATTTCCTTGCTTCTATGGGATTGACCTTCTTAAATACGCCCTATGACTAGAATGGCCTCGTTCACAGAAGCTGCAGACAAGACCTTGTTGCTCGCTACAAAACTCCCAATGGGTCAAAAACTGCCTTGCCGGGCGACGTTGAGGCCTGGGTTCTCTTCGAAATGCATCTACAGCTTCCACCGAACCATGTATCCCATGGAGGGTGCAGAACGAAAGCCACTGACAGGGTCCTGGTGTTTCGGGGGCGTCCAAGGAAGCGAGGCAATCGCTTAGCTTTTCCGTTTTGGTGGTACTAATAAGCTCTTGGCGATCTCGACCAGCCAAGTTCCTAGTTTGAAAACCAGTGAAAAGAACATTGGCCAAGACCCCGGACTCGAGGTCAGACAAAATGGCCCCGGTGACTGTGTTCAAAGATAGCGTGTATCCCCTCCATCACTTGGTGAGGAATCTGCCTTGGGAAGCTTATGAATCTACCCATTCATAGCTGCAGCGTGCTGTGACAAGAGGACGGACGCCACGCTTGGCAACTGCGTCCTTTTCTCTGGGCAATTTTCTGTCTCACGATGCTTGGTTCTTTCAGACTGTGATGATGGTGATGCCATCTTGATGCGACTACTTTTTCGTCTTCGTTTCCTGGCATTCTTTATTGGAGTTCGACATTCAGAGATCGTCTAGCCTAAATTTAGGTCTAAATCTATAGTCCTGGACCTAGACTAGATTATAAAACCTAACGTAAAACTTAATCTAAAAAATTAGATTTTTTAGTTCTAGGCTCTGAGTTATAGCACAGTCTAGTATAGAATAATACCAGTCATAGCAAGCCTTGAAATAAGCTTCCATCCCGTGCAAGAGTCGAATCATGATAACCAATATCGTAGGATTGCTGAATTAGCTCTCAGGAAGCATGAAATGAAAGTAAGATGTAGACAGGTAGTTGTAATTGGGTCTCAGGCACAATATCTCCAATATCACTGCAGGACTAATCGAATGGATTGGCCAACATTTCACCCTCTTCAGGAGTCGCGATATCTATGTTCTTGCTACCGAAATATCAAGACATCAGGACACGAAATTCAATGATCTAGTTAGTGTAGAACAATTATACGTAGATCTCTGGCCGTAGCGATGAAAGGACGTATTGCAGAAACAGGGCTAAGCAAAATAGGATGCCATAAATCGCACCTATCGCCCATGAAGTAGACGCCAGTCACAAGGGCGGAGCCATAGCCCATGTGCATGGCATGCATTTAGCTCCAGAGCCAAGTGTATTAGGGCATCGCCCAGAGTCACTCTCGCACTGCTTCGGGTTACCCCGCGGATTTTCAGCGGACGTATGCTGATAGCGTTCATGTCACGCATCTAGTTGCTTCATAAAGCAACAAGCGGCGCTAATCGGGGCCGACCCGCAGGAAAACTGCAGTGGTAAAGAATACAATGCCCCTTATACTCACTTAAGCCATGCAGTAAACAGCACTAAGTGTGTCTCTATCCTCATCCTGCATCAAGCCGGAGCAATTCCTGTTCGAATTCCTCGTCGGTATCGAATTCATCTGCGAATTCTTCCAGTAAGATAGCTGTATCATCTCGGAAGGACTCCCCTGCTGGTAGACTAATCGGAACTGGTGGGGCTACTTGATCGTTGTGCTCCTTTTTCTCTGGCTCTGCATGGATAGTGCCTTGTGAGACCGCGACAGTTTCAGCTTCCTTGATGACGTCTTCATCGTAGAAAATAGAGCAGTCGGAAAACTCGTCGTCATCTCTCTCTCCACAATTGACCTCTCCGAGCTCCGTAGCTTCACTGATACTAATTTCTAGACCGACAGCTTCATTGTCGTCTGGTTCGTCATTCTCCGAGTTCGAGTCCTCACTAGTATCCATTTCTGTGCTTGTAGTATCTGGCTCCGTATCTTCACACGTTGTCTCTTGCTCCGCAGGGGCTTGAGGACCCTTCTTAAGAAAGTTGAATAACGACGGTTGGCTCGACGGAACGGTGGGTGCATTAGGATCGGGTATACCGAGTCGTCGTCGTTCTTCGCGAGCCTTCAATTCTTTCTCGGCCTTCTTTTTCTTGTTGGCTATGCGCTTCTTCTCCTTCTCCCGAAGCTTCTGGGCTTTGCGCTCGCGTTCTTCATCCCGTTCTATTCGCGCGATCTGAGACGCCGTGAACTTTAAGCGTTTGTTGCTGCGTTGATATCGACGGCGGACGGTTCGCGATTTCTCTAGGACGATACGTTTCGGCGATGCAGGCATCTTGGCCTAGGGCGGAAATCGAGGTATATACTAGGAGTTACGTCCCTTAAGACTGGCGGAATATAGGCAGACATTGGAGATGCTCATGGAGTATTTTGGTAAAGAAAGAAGCAAAAGACCCTTTTGTTGTTGATCATGTTGTTAAGGTCCGTAAACGGAAGCTGTAGGGCGTCTTGCCGACGGCATTAAGTTGTGCCGAAACGGGGCGGTTTATCTTAGACCAAGTTCACGACCTCTGCGATAAATTGTTCTATCCGAGATCTACTCAAACACGATCCTGTTCATTATACAGAAGCGAATTTTTATAACTAAAACACATATTATTTAGATTCTTTGTTATCAATTTGGCTTAATTCCTACTTAAGGTATTAGACTTTTGGAAGAACCCATGCTCATCCCCAATCACCGCATCATCTTTAGATATCACAGGCGAGAGTCCCTAGCGGGATCCCAGCAGACAGGTGCATCCACCCCTGTCTTCAAGCTCTGCATGTCCTCTTCCGATAGCTCGAAGTCGAAGACCTGCGTGTTTTCGATGATACGTGACTCGGTCACGGACTTGGGGAGAGGGACATAGCCCTGCAACAGGGTCAATACTATCGCATAGAAACTCTGATTGAAAAAGAGGGAAAACATACCTTTTGCAAGCTCCAACGGATTAAGACCTGAGCGGGAGTCTTGCTGTGCTTCTTGACCAGACTCTGCAAAACGGGCTCCTTCATACGAGTGGCCTGCACCAAAGGCGAATACGCTTCAACAACAATGTTGCGCTTCTTCAGCCAGTCGACAATGTCTTCTCTGGGGCACCAGGGGTGGATTTCGTACTGGCCGACTGAGATCTGGCCGCCCACACCGCTGTTGATGTATTCCTCTAATTCGTTGAGGTGGTGGATACCGTAGTTGGAAACTCCGATGGAACGGACCTTGCCAGTCTTCTGAGCTTCCACCAGAGCGCGCCAGGCGCCCAGGCGACCCTCTTTACCTCCAAAAGGAGCGTGGAGTAGCACCCTTGTCGATGTTAGTTGTCTGGCTTTTATATGGGGCAAAGAGTAGTGATTACAGGTCGATATAGCCGATTCCGGCTGCATCCGCAAGGCTAGCTTCGATAGCCTCTTTAGCCTTTTCGTAGGACATGTGGCTGACGGGGACCTTGGTTGTGTAGAAGATCTTGGAACGGTCGATACCCGACTTGCGGATGGCCTCGGCGCATTCGGCTTCGTTCGCATAGTACTTGGCGCTGTCGACCTGTGGAGGTATCGAGTTAATTTTATTGTTCAATGAATTCAGAACAAGAACACCTTACATGGCGGTAGCCAGTTTCTAAGGCCTTCAGGGTCACCTTCTCGGTGATATCAGGCGGACTACACCGGCATGTCAGTATTGATGCCGTATGCTTTGTTTAGATGGAAATATAGCTCTAGAGACTTACGTCTGGTAAACCTAAAATCAAATTATACTCGTCAGAATCATGTTCTTCAGTCAAGGTCCATCCGGCCGCGACTTACACCGAAACCAACGACAGGGATCTCATATCCTGAAACCAACTTAAGGGTCGACTGAAGCGATAACGGAGCCATAATGTCGGTGTGGCCGTGGTGTTAGCTCTGCTTTGTATAAGTGCTTGCAGGTCACTTGTGGTCCAAGAGACAGTTTGGAGGGGTAGATGTAGCAGAATAGATGTTCGCCGGGACCCTCGCTCCGACTATTTATTCCACAGTCTACCCCTTCCGGCTGGATCAGCGGCCCTGACGAGTGAATTAGCTCCCATGGCGTCTTGTGGATAACATCAACGTGGGGCTGCTCTAAAACGGCAGACCGAATTCGGCTGTTAGGTTTTCCAGGAATATGCACGTAAAATGATACCACACTAGGGAGTGTTTTCCAGGCACCCGCGGAAAATAAATCCTTAGCTTATGGCCACATAAGGGGAGACTATCCACTTAGTCTTCTAGAAGCTACTTGGAGACATGGAGTATGCATAAAGCCTTGTCTAAATTAGGGCTTATGCTTATGTATGGTTTGGGCGTATCAATCTTATCGATAACGGAGCCAGATCAACGCTAGACCGCTTTAGGGCGTGTCCCGCACCTTTCAATCCCACTCGGCGCCGATGATGCAAAACACCATCTTCTATCTTCTTTCGGCCAACACTCGCTGGGAGCTAGGCTAAACAACGAATCTCTACATAATTCCTGCGCCTTTTATTCATTGCGTCTATTCTCACTCGAATAGAAGTTCATCGGGCGGAGGAACGAACAATCGCTAGCCCATCGCAGTCGAAGTTAATTAAGAACCAACCCACTCTTACTCTCTCCAGCAGCGCGCCGCGCAAAATGCGCTTGGTCAAGAACAAGGTTGAGCTTAACGGCTCAGGCACAGTTACTCTGTGCCCTGAAGAGCCCGAAGACATGGTAATCACTTGGACCTTTAAGCGATCGCATCGACCCAATTGCTGAACAAATTCCTTCAGTGGCATGCCTACAACCTAATTCGACCCGGCGATCTTCTCCGCGCCAGTGCCATTCGCCGTGTTACCACGACCCAAGAGACTGGGTCTACATCATCCGCTCGAGTTCACCTGACGCTCGAGATTCGAGTAAAATCTCTGGATTTCGACCCGCAGCTTTCCCAGCTGCATGTTAGTGGGCAGATTGTGAACGAGACGCAACACACCAAGGTTGGCCAACACCATACGCTGGATTTGGAGTTGAATCGCAACTTTACGCTTGAAAAGGAAATAGGCTCGGACGGTGAAGGGGTGGGATGGGATAGTATCGCCATTCAAATGCTTAAAGATGCGGTTGATGAGGGCGGGAAACGAAGGGCGGAGGCTGTGGCCGTTGTTATGCAGGAGGGTCTAGCCCATATATGCTTTATTGGACAGTTCCAGACGATTCTGAAGCAGAAGGTTGAGATGTCAGTTCCGCGGAAACGACAAGGAGGCAGTGATCATGATAAGGTGAGCTCGATATGTTCTTTCTTTTTCATCTCTCATGCCAACGGTCATGCTAACTTAGCCAGGGATTGACGAAATTCTACCAAGTCACACTAGACACCCTTCTTCGCCAAATGGAATTTAACACCAGCTCTACCTCTCTCACCAGCAACGAGACCGTCCGGCCTGTCCTCCTTGCATCGCCTGGTTTCGTTGCCGCTGGGTTCCAAAAGCACATCCAGTCAGTCGCAGCGACCAGTACACCCGCTCTGAAGCGTCTACTCCCGAGCATTGTGGTCGTTCACTCCGCCTCCGGGTACCTACATTCCCTAGCAGAAGTTCTACAGTCACCCTCAGTCAAAACGATCCTCGCCGACACCAAGTACGCTCGAGAAACCAAACTCATGGACGACTTCCTGGAGCAACTTCGGAAAGAGACCAACAAAGCAACTTACGGACCGCGCGAGGTCGAATCAGCGGTTGACCAAGGCGCTGTGGGCCGTGGTGGGGGCGTGCTAATCATCTCCAATCGCCTGTTCCGGTCGCAGGACGTGGCCGAGCGTAAACGCTGGGTATCACTGGTTGACCGGGTGCGGGATGTGGAAGGTGGAGAGGTTCGCGTGCTCAGCTCAGACCATGAGAGTGGGAGGAGATTGGACGGCCTGGGGGGCATTGCCGCACTGTTGACGTTTCCCATTGTCGAGGAAGACTACGACTCAGATGAGGAGCAAAGTTGAGTATAATAGTAGAGATCCATTATAGTATAGACAAGGCTCATGTACTGGTGACCTCCCATTCGACTCTTCCAACATGGCTTGTGTAAACATCGATATATCGTTCACCATCCACTCATTCAAGTGACACCTCCTTGTCATTCCCTGGACTGTCTAAGAATGAGAAACAAACCCAATTACACTCCATATACAATCGTCTCTGTCTCGAAACATTCATATTACACAACCAGCTGAGCGAGGCTGACAACCACGCACTCCTGCTCACTGTCTTCCTCTATTCCAATTACCCTGCGATGCACAGTCCGACTCATAGCCACCTGATCAGTTATCAAACACTGAACGAATAGGCGGTCGTTCATGCCCGACGTTCCCACATCATGGCCCTGACCGCTCGAACAATTCGCCTGCGATGATTACACAGTGGCTTGCATTTGTGCACTTCTGCGCGAGCAGACGGTAACCAAACATGCTGAATGGGCTCAGTACGAAACACAAAACATTCCCAAGCAACCTCGGTAGTCAAAGATTGATAATAATTTCCGTACACTCCGTCATATTCCAGGAATGCCATGTAGTCATTGTTGGGCAATGCCTGTTCGCAATGCCACACTGATGTCAACCTCTGGTTATTGCACACCGGTCTGGACCTCCGAGCAACTATATGAGCGAGAAAGGGAAAAGCACTGGCAAATCATGACCCCATCCTGAACATTTTTAGCGATTCCGGCGTAACATAGTCACCAAAGGGGTTGGATGGAAGATGTTGAGACATTGTACTATACTTGTGAGCAGTCAGAGAGATGAGAAGACACGGGACCGAAGTTCATTCTTTCAGTTTGGGTGCTATTTCCATCCTTGGGTTACTGGACGTTAAGCTAGATCGGATTGAGGATGTTGAAGGGCTGTTCTGGAAAGCGCTCAATGGAAGGTCACTGGTAAAGAACCTACATGACATCAGATGGCGATACTTGAAGGAATGATTTCGTCAATAGGCTAATAATAACTCCAGCGTTGACCGCTTTTCTCTTCATGTCTGGTCTAGCTCGACTGTCCGACCAATGCCGCCTCATGAAGTCCCAACGGTCTACATACTAGAGACGGACTATGAACCCGTATAGTAACGTGATCATATCCAAGTAGCAATCGATTCCCCAGGTCTTGTCATCGGCGTCTGAAAGCTTGTTAACATAACCCCAAAAGAAAGTTCCAGGGCAATTCCAACCCTGCCAAGCAGCAAAGCCCTAATTTAGTATCTCGCGGGATTTACCTTCCCCAACCCTTCCAAGGAAATAGCAACATCGAACCTATATTTCCCTCAACATCCACAGCCTCATCTGCAGTGCCGTTCAAATCCCGACAAAGAACTCATGTCTCACTCGACATGACGGCTTCAATTCCGCCTCCAGATCTCAGACAACACCTTCACCTCCCAAGACCAACCGGGACATCGCCAGTGCCCCAAAAATCCGGGAATCTTAATTCTACGCTCAAACGTCTAGGCAACATTTTGGTATCTCCATGCAAGAGGGAAATCCAACTCCGCGGCAATGTCGGCATTTGGCAGGCTGTCATGTTTAAGTTTCCGTTTAATTTTAAATGTTTTTACTTTTTTCTCTTTTCATTTTTTTTTTTTAACTTTCCAAGGGAAATTTTAAAGTTAAAGGCCTTGCGTGAAGATCACTCTAAGCCATTCTCGTCTCTAGTACTAGTTAGTAGTATGATAGAAGTGGCTGCATAAAGTCTGGAGTCGAGGTCTAGGAACGGTTTATGTCCCGGTCTTTTTTCGTTCTTCTTTTGTTCTTACCAGATGAATTTTATTTTTTTTATAACTATGTCTTCTGAGACAGGCATTAAATATACATGAAAGTATATTTTAGTATACATATGAGTAGTAGACAGGGAAAAAAAATAGAAAGAAAAACGCAAGTACAACCACTACAGGTTCTATATCTGACAAAGAAAGAACAACGCAAACCACCCCCAAGATACAGGTTCAATGAACTATACTAGCCATATACTATAGATGAAAACGAGCAAGACATTCCACGAGGCTGATAAAACATGTCCAATTGTGGGGAGGCTTTTTCTCTTTGGAGAGTAAGATATCTTCCATTAGGATGAGGATCCTGACAGAGATGATCCCTTCATTAAATGGACATGAGGGACTAGTGAAGTTCAACGGTCTCCGGCTGAGACAACATCAAGACAATGATGTGTATACCTACTACTACTACTACTACTACTACTACGACTACGACTAAGGTATGGAGAGGTCTCGGCAGGCGCAATCTTAGAATTGATGATTCCACCTATGAAGGACCATTCATCCTGGTCGATAATCAGGCTGCAAGGCACGAGTCAGGGACTGAAACATAGAAAGTTAATGCATGGACTGTTCAGCCGCACCGAGTCATCCATTTTACCCATTGACTTGCCTTTTTTCGACAAATATACATGCATTCCCACGTCACACCAACTATACGAACCCGGATTAATAACAAATTTTAAACATCCCCTAATCTATCTATCCGCCTAGTCTAATGCAATAGGAACCTCGTCCGGCGGCTCTCGAGTGGTATCCATTAAGCCTCTTTGTCTTGGAACGGCGGCTAATGTTGGTTGGCGGCGGGGGGAAGGAAGGAAGGAAGGAAGGAAGGAAGGAAGGGTCAAAGAACAAAAGAAAAAGGAAAGTCTTGGAATGATCCAGGACTGAAGATCGGTCTAAGCGAGGTATCGGGGTCACTTATAATGTTGTTTATCTGACTTCCCTTTTTTTTTTTTTTTTTTTTTCCTTGTCTTAAACTTTAACGGTTGAACTGTTGAACTGGACGGTGGGTCTCGTTTTTTCTTTGTTCTTTCTTTTTTCTTTTCGTCTTCTCTGGGGGATGGATGATGCATGGTTCAGCTGTTTGTCCATGCCGAGGAACTGACTGGAGCTGTGCATTTGAGGGATCGGGTTAGAGTGAGTGTAACGTTCTTTTTTTTTATTTGGAATCCTGGATTTTCTTTGTCATGGTGGGACCGTTCCTTGAATGGATTGATTACGATTACCAGATTACTGGGGGACTTTTGCATTTTAGCTTCCTTGAGATTTTTTTGGAATGGTGACTCTTTCATTTAGTGGATCAACCAGGGTATATCTCCAGTATCTGAGACAAGATGTCGGGACTAACAGGTCAAGGATTTGAAAGAAAAAAAAAAAAAAAAAAAAAACCTAGGCAGTCGTCACGCGGGTAATCCCTCGAGGGGATTTCATCGTAGCCCGTTTTCGTGCTTCCACTATTCGTGACAGTGAGGTGTCATCCTCTCGACGAGAATCTAGATACCGTAGTTGTGCCTCACATTGTCGTGCTGTGTAAAGTTTCTTTGCCCCTAGCTCTTGCATCTAATGCCTTAATGATTAGTAGGTAGGTTACCAATGCTACCCGCTGTCTGCGTATGAGACCTCACCTTTTGTGCTATTAAATTATACTTTTCCCTCTCCCAATATTCTCTAGCCCTTATGAGCAATCGGATCTAGACAGCCTGGTCATTAGCAGTGGACCAAGATGAGGAGGTAGGTTTGATGTACGTACTCACATCGCTCTCTTCCCACCGAGCCGAGCGGTCTTTGCGCCTGCGCAGCATCCGCATCTGTAGGCGGGCCTCCGATGCGTCCTTGTTGAACTTCTCCCGGAACATCTCCCGGATGTGCTTCCATGCCAGGTTCTGTTCCCGTAACCGTTCAACAAATGCGTCCTCTTCTTCGGCTTGTGGGTCTCGTCGCCCTCGGCCGGGGGCGCGAGGTCGTTGGTGTGAATGAGGATCAACTTGCTCTCGCCGGCGTTCCTGCTCTAATCGTTGAAGCCCTTCCGGATGAGGCAGTATGGTGACTGGTCCTTCGCGACCTGCTACCGCTGGTTTAGGACTTCGCCGAGTCCGCTTAACGGGGTGTGGCGGAGGTGACAGAGCGGCTCCACTGAAGACATAGTCTGGGTCGGGAACAGGGCCTAGACCAGCGGTTACAGTTCGCGGGAAATCACTTGGAAAGGGCGCGGTAATTCCCAGTCCATGTGAGGGGACAGATTCAGCCATGCAGTATGCATATTCTTGGGAATGGTGACTGAGAACCGGGCTAGGTCGGGCATGAGCAAAGGAGCTGTCGGGAAGACTGATTGGTGTTAAGATGGCATTGGATGGGAAAGCTGCCGTGGTATTGTAAGGGTGGTTGACGCCTCCATAGGGGGACTGTGGAGCACCGGTGCTTGTCAGTATATGACGTCTCTGCGTGGGCATCAAGTTCGCACGTACAACTTCTACCCCGGGCCATGGAGCTTGATAAGTCTCATAGAAGTTATCCATTCCTTCTTCCGGGTGAGGACCGCCTGATCCATACGGGTTTGGCCCGGTATAGTCGCCTGGAGTCCGAGGAAACATGGAGCAAGCCGATAGGAGGACCAACAATATGTAGCGGCGGGAGGATCAAACGTTTGATGAGACAACGACAGAAGAAGCAACAACCACAGCGGCAAAGAAAGTGAAATGAACGTATTTATTGGGGCCGGAGGCGGTAGTATATAAGCAGTAGTTCCTTTTGGGAAAGCCAATGAATCTTAACGTCCTTCGCAACACGACTGAGGAGAGACTGCTGCATTAAATAGATAGAAGAAATAAAGTGATAATGGTAATGTCATGCAGGTTCATATCCTTAAAGCACAACGAGAGAGGGGGAACTGCCTTGCGAGGTAGGCTAGAATTCTTGAATCCTTTTTTCTTCCCTGTCAACAAGTCTAGAGAGCTCCAAGAGACGAGTAGATACCGCCGACCACGCTGTGCCGCTCTAAATCGCTCTCAACCAGAGGTGTAAACTAGACGATGAGCCCGCATTTAAGCGCCAACTTATCCCGATAGAAAACATTGGCGTCTTAGGAAAAGCCATGGCTCATCCTTTGACATAACTATGGGGAGAAGAATTCCAGCCCCCAAACTTTCGGGGGCGCAGACTTTGCATTTCAAAGGCCCACATGGCTGTTCGATGGCAAGGCAGCACCTGCGATCATAGTCCCAGTGCTCTGGATCTCCAGGGGTGGAAACCATGGGTTGGACATCATGGCAAAGGAATGGGATCGGTGCTTAGCGGCCCGCTGTATCCTAGAATTAGAAGGACGGTCGG